AGACGACCTCTGGCCACGACAACGCAGTTGCGCCGTCGTCGAGGGAAACAGACTGCCCCCAAGCGCGTTGGATATGAACTACCTCGTCTCGGCGAGCGAGTTTTGGGTGTGATCTTCGACTTTGTCGGCGCAGTCATGGACGAAGACAACGTCCTCACGGTGATTGGAAACTCTACAGGGCACATCAAAGCTTGCATCGAAATTTTTGGTCTACATTCTTCCGTGCACTGCGCCTCCTACGGGTGGCATCCGCAGCAGCTGAGCGCGGGTGAGTATGTGGCTGTCGTCAGTCGAGAGGTGAGTGCTAATTTGGATTTGATGTCAGAAGCTCGTCGGAGACCCCGACCGACACAAGAGCACAAAGTCGCTCCCGACGAAGATGACGACTTGGGAGCGAGGGCTGAGTTTGTGGACGTGGGCGAGGTGGAAGACCGATCCGATCTCGATGTGGACAATTGCCCGATCAAACCTGAAGTCCAGTACCAACCTCGCCTGCACGTGGACCAAAAAGATGTCTTGGGCTTGGCGCACAGATTGAATGTGAAAACCAGCGGTCCAGGCAGAACCAGTTCCAGCACCAAGCGTTCGGCTGAGTTCGTGAAGCAATATGCTACGAAATATGAGGAACTACAGCAGCCACGCTCTTGTCTGCGCGGGCGTGAAATCGATTCGAAGACGTCTACCACCCAAGAAGTGTTGAGTGGCCTGCAACAGCAAAAAGCGCTCCAGGAGTCTCGCAAGGATGCGGAACTGGGTCAAGCGCACGACACAGACGATGAATGCGTTGGACACATCTCTACACGAGACGTTGAGGCCGGCTTGGCCCCTGTGGCAGCGGTGTTAACTTTGTCTCCGGCTGAGAAAGCTTTGCAGCTGGTGCAGCAGAAGCTACCTGTGCTTCAGTCCACTCACCAAGACGGAGCAGAGTATGCAATCTCTCCAGATCAGTACAATGCTGTGATCCTCGCCATCGCGCCCTTACAGCGCCTGTGGAACAAAGCCAACGAAGCTGGACTGGCTCACTGCTTCGGAGATCGCACTCGACTTGACCCGTTGTTGGCTTTGGTTGAGAAGGATTACGGAGCCCAAGATTTCGCGTGTCCACGCGCTTCCATCGACGAAACTAAACGTCTAATGACATAAACATCGCTTGTAGCAAGGATACATGATTTTTGTATTTTGCATAGAGAATGTAGGACTTCATTTGCGCAATGATCACACCGGGTTGGCGAAATATGGATTTTAGATTTGCTTGTTGCGTGTTCCTTTTGCTTGTGCGCCCACGTAGGACATGGTGGCGCGTATTTTTGTGCATGGACCTGGAGGGAGCGGCAAAACTTTCATGCTGAAAGAAGTCGAAAGAAGTCATCCTCCCGGTCTACAACGAGTTTCTACCTGGGACCACCCGAGGGGTCGCTGCCCAAAACTCTGCCGCTCGACTCATAGGAGGAAGCACGTTCCACCATATGGCTGGTCTCACACGGGCGCAAGAGCTGTTGCTGCAAAAGCCCTCTAAGACCAAGAAGGAGGCTTTGCAGCGTAAGTGGTGGCGGCTTTCGCTGGTCTTTGTTGATGAGATTAGCTTGACTGCACCGAATTTGTTGGCAGTGCTACACGGATCGGCCTGCTATGGTCGTTTGGACCTGTCTCCGGAGGGTTTTCTGAGTAACATTTTCGGCAATGTCTTGTGTCAGATTTTGGCTGGTGACTTCCTGCAGCTGAACCCCGTGCGAGCCAGATCCCTCATGGAAGCCTTCGGCATTGAAGTTCCGGGGGTGCCTCGATACGAGAAGATGGACGACCAACAGCGCAGGAAGAAAGTCGACATCGATGAACATGGACTTGCAGTCTTTCGCGCCTTTCTGAAACAGGTCATCTTGTTCAGAGGCTCTCACCGCTTTCGGAAAGGAGATCCGTTGGCCGAGCTCTTGGAGACGATGCGAGTGGTCGGAGGTCGTCCCTTGTCTACAGCTCTGAAGGAGGCCATTCGCAAGCAGGTGTATCGCCCGCTGGGAGGCGATCCTCGTCTGAGCAGCGATTACACCATGGCTTCAGGTTCCACTGCGCCCACCGGTCCTCCAGGTTTCTTCGCGCGCGGTGTCTTCAGCGCAGTGAACTGGGACCAGGTAGCTCGTCTCCAGCAGTTGTGCGCATACGAGTCTGCTCGCGCAAGCTTTGGCGTTGCAGCTTTCCGCAACACCCAGACTGGACGTCCCCAGCTGATTCGTCGACACTTTCCGACGTATCTTTCGAAGTCCTTTCAGTCTCGCTTCGGAGCGGTCTTCGCCAAGCAGGAATCCTTCTTGACGTCGTTGCTACATGACAAAGGTCGTCTGCTCTACTACGTTCAAGCAGTGGATTTGGTGCATCAAAGTGAGTTCACCAACGACAAATCCATTCTGCGCGAGATTCTGGGCTTGACCAACATGGCAAGTAAAACTGGCAACCTCATGTCGTTTCTACCGCTGCACTTGGGCTTGAAGGTGAAGGTGACGAAGAAACTTTTACCACCAGAAATCGTGCAAGAGTGTCCGGCCGAGGTGATCGCCATTCAATTTCATCCCAACGAACGCTTTGGCGTGCCTGGCGCGCCCGCTGGTGGTGGAGTCCCCGCGCGGTCGCATCCGTGCTGGGAGACTGGATATGTTCGCCTGGACTATCTCCCTGCCTCGATTACCTTGCGTATTGAGGCCTGGGCCTGCAGCTAAATATAATCTGAACGTCATTTATACGCGGATATGACTGAAGACAGGTGTCCTGCACAGTTTGTGACCATCGTTTTTTTTGGACAGTTTAATCTAACATTCTGTAGGACCCATACATCTCTGAGTCACACCTGACTTGCAACAGGATCAGCAAGAAGATTATACCGGACAGCTTCTGCCTGGAGTGTGGCATTTAGAACCGAGTGAAGATTCTTTCCGCGTGCAATTGCATCGCAAAGGAGCCTTGATGTTGGATGTTACTCGGATACAGTATCCTCTTGCTCCGCTGGCTGCTGGAACCTACAACAATGCCCAAGGCAAGACCATCAAAGGAGTTGGGCACACGATTGATTTTTCGAAGCCAGATTATTTTTCGGCAGACGATTATACGCAGCACTTGTACATGATTCTTGGACGCGCTCAAGCTCTCGAGTATTCCTTATTTCGCAATTTGCCGGAGACGCCAGAAGGCGATATTGATTTTTTCGATCTTTGAGACTGGTCCACCTGCGTATATTGCCGAGTTTTTGGATCGACTGGAGGACTCTGATGTGCTTGTTGGCTTGTTTAATGTGCTATATTGGATATCCGCGGATTGATTCACCCTGCTCGAGTGATAAGATATGAAATAGCATTCCATCCGCAGGCGCGTGTGTCGATCTTGTATCGTTGTTCGCAGGAGGTTGCGCTTTTGTCTCGCTCCGCCATCGAAGAAGCTCGCAGACATCTGCCTGGTTTTCCAGCCGCGGAACACCTACCGCGACCGGCCCGCAGAACACCAGAGGGTCGCTTTCAGTACGTCCCAGGGGCTTGGACGGCGGCTACGAAGGCGAGCGTAGTGACTGAGTTCAGGGGAACCAAAAGGAAGTACGACCCCACCAAGTGGCGTCAGCTGCGAACGGATTTCTGCGACATCTGGTCTCTTTCGCTGGAAGAGGTGGCCACTCCCACGGCACAATTTTTCCGAGAACACGGGGCTCTGCGTGTCTTTGCCGCCGAAGCTGGTGGAGGCGGCGATTGCTTCTTCTTGTCCACTGCGGTCGTCCTGATGCAGGCGCGAGCAGTCCACCCACGACTCTTGAATCTTTTCACTTCCGATGAGGTGGCTGACTGGGACGACCGAATTACGGTCGCGGCTGCTCTCCGCAAGATTGTCGGGCGACACATGCGCGCCAAGACGCCAAAAGCATTCTTGAAGTTCGTCGTGGGGTGTTTGGTGCGCGAAGCTGCGAGGACATGGCTGGATCGCACTCTTGCGTGGCTCTCCTTTTGCTTTCTTGAAAGACGCCAACGATGTTCTCGGAGCAGAAGTTGCAGACGACGCCATGCTAGTTCGCTACAAAGAGGGCGACAGCTCCGTGACGAGGAGCAAGAGAGTGCGTTCTGGCACTGCGGCCCTGGTGTCTTTGCAGGATGCCGTGAGCACTGCTCTCGAAGCTTGTGGGAATACTCATTGGGCAACAGACGTCGACTTTGTTGCGTTGGCCACGGAGCTCAATCTTGGCTTCATCATTGCTGGAAATACTTGGACCCAGACGTCTGTTGTTCGAGGCTCCGGTGACACATCTAACAAACGTGTGTGCGATATATCTATACGAATGTTGGACCTATAGGATAGTTTTCTTCACTTCCGTTGTGTGTGTGTGTCTCATATACTTCTTGTCGATGCAGGCGAACCACAACAACGCACGGTCTTGCACTCCTATTTACAAGAAGATCAGACGCCGCAATTGTGGATTTCTCTGTATTATATGGACGGTTATCACTTTCAAGTGCTTATTTTCGAGATTTTGGGACAATGCCATTGTTTCTTTCGTGCCGCGGATCTGCCAGACCCTTTACGCCAGTGCTTGATTTGAATGCAAAACAAAAATCCTTCATGATGAAGACAGAGCGTGGTGGTGAAGTCCCCAGCGCATGCTGCCTTGGTGGTGGAGTCCCCAGCGCATGATGTCCAACAACGTGTCAGAGAGTGAAAAAGAGATTCCCACCGGCTGTGTCTCTTTTTATACACAGTGGTTTGACGTATGTGTTTGCATTCGGGTTCGTGGGCTCCATCTTGTTTGCCCAACCTTCCAGAGAACATCCCCTTGACCATGTCCGTGCAGTTGGACAGAATGGGATCACAAGAGTTTCATCACCAACTCCATGAGTTTCATCGCTTCACACAGGACATGGGAACGTTTCTAGTGATGACTTCCTTCTCTCTTTTCACATCCCGTCGAATACAAACGCATCGCTAGTGAGGGAAGTAGGGGGCGATTGGACGGTGGGTCTCTGTGGCCTGCGCCTCAGGCGACTCGACCTTCGAATTGGTGGCTTCCCTCAAGGACGATGACCAGGGCAAGGCCGAGTCGTTGGCAAAGCGCGTCGTCGGCAAAGCGTTGCGTTGCGCGTGGGAGAAGTCGAGAGAAGGTTGTCCGAAGGGTCTAGGATCTCAAACTTCTGGATCTTGAGATCTCCACCACATGTCTTGCACTCAAAGATACAAGATGCATAAGACATGTATTGACTGATAGAAAAGGATAAATTGTTTGTAGAGGAAGCTAGTCATTCAAGAGGTCATGTTCCACCTCCGTGTCTAAAGACAGGTGGACCAAGAATTCCTTAGATCTTTGGACTTGCTAGGTAGAACGGCTGACGGGCGGATTTCTCTGAGTCTGTTCATGAGGATCCTCGAAACAAGATGAGGCCTGCACTCCAAACCTGTAAGCTGGAGCTTTTTCACTGGCTCCTGCGCGCTCCAGCATCAACCATGGTCGACGCTTCGTCCGTCCGTTCTGTTTGCGAGGCTCCCTTCCGCTCCATCAGCAAGAAGTATTGCACGGACCTGGAGCATCTGCTTCAAACCCTCAGCACTTGCCAACTGCACTACATTCGTCTCCTGGCGCAGCGATTTGCTCACGTCTCACGGAAAAAGGCGGGTTAGACACCAGCCGGGGGGTCTGCCGCATGCACGCTGCCAGCCACGCTGGGCAGTATCAAGGAACTTGCTTGTCAATTGCAAAAACAAAACAATCTCATACCCTAGCGATCCAAGTAGCTCCTCAGAAGGTATTTGAACCCTCCAAACCCAGCCCAAACACCTTCTCAGAAGGTACTTGGATCCCTACAAATAGTATAAGTTGTTGTCTTCCATTGCCTCGTGGCTGGTGCCGAATGAGGTTGCTTCAAGCCGAACGACTTTCAGCAAGCGGCCGTTTTCGACGAACAGCTGGTGCTCGATCAGATTGTTCAGTCCGAACCTTAGAGGCTTAGTGAGCTGTCACCTTGGCAGCAGTGGTTGGATCATTTCCTCCAAAGAACCGAGAACGATGTGCCGGCACAGGTCATATGAATTCATATGTTCCTCTTATTTAAAATAAGTATATTTCTCTTGAGTTCATGCAAGGTGGATGAGGATGCAACAGGGATTCAGGTTCCGAGCAATTCCATCCATCTTCATGCCATAGACCTTGAAGTCAAATGAGCTCACAGGACATTCCCACATCAACAAACTCAGACGGATAGAAAACAGTACGCTCTGTACGAATCCATTGTAAGCTCTGGAAAGGCCACAGGGACATTTGAAACATTCCCTTCAGAGTCATCCAACTCAGAAACCCTCAAAACCGAAACCGGATGAGTCCTTGAGGACTCGCGGATCTCGCGGGCGATAATGTCTCTCAGTCTCGCGGAACTAGTCTCACTTGGATTTTCAGATGTTCTGAACTGACCGTTCGGCTGCAGCTCAGTCCTTTGGCTCAGCTGCTTTCCCACTTCCAAGTGGGTCTCTGTCGTCACGGTTACTTTGGTTATACTCCGACTGACGTTCCATGGGGAAAGCGGTCTACTACGGAACCATTTTCCACTTTCCATGTCATGTTTTCGTGGGAGTCCTTGCCCAATGTTTTCTCCAATGGGAGGCTCCATTTCCGGGCTCCATTCTGGGCCGCAAAACTAGTACCTGGAATTCATGTGTGTTTTTTCCCTCACGTGAGAAGAAGAAGAAGAAGAAGAAGAAGAAGAAGAAGAGGAAGAAGAAGAAGATCTTTGGGGATGTTTCCCGGGTCTGGGGATCTTTCCTCGATCGAGGTGTGGCACCGTCGAGCTGGTGAAGATCATGCACGATGGCTATCCCAACCGCTGTCGATTCCAGGAAATGCTGCGCTTTCGTGGCTCGGAGCTCGGAGGATTTTTTTGGGAGGAAAGGGTTTTAGAAGGCCCAGAAAGGGCACCTGAAGTGGAGATCTTTTCTTGATTCCCTCCCCAGTTCGGGTCTTTTGGCACCATTCTCGCATGATTCTTGGAGAAGGGGCTTTGGGGGTGGAAATCTCATATGTCTTTTTTGGGGCACCTTGCCAAGCGCAATGGAAGTTCTCCACCTTCCGCCCAGTGGGAGGGACATCCGATGTAGACATTGTTATGATTCCTCCGTTTTGACACATTTTGGCGACATGTTGCCGCAAGGAACTCAGCCTCGAAAAACGACACAGTACTACGCCCCAATCCAGTCAGTGGATCTACCACTTCCCAGTGAGTGAGGTCCATCCACCACCTCCCATGGTTTCGACCAAACCCTTCCCTCTGGGGTAGCGGTGGATTCCCGCTCCCATGCGGCTCCCACGCGTAGCCGAGTCCGAGGCGATCTGCTGCCCGAGAGCTTCCAGCGTTACGGCACCCGAACCTTCATCGAAGCCCTGCTCTTGGCCTACAATGTGCCCAAGGAGGCACCCCTTCATCGCCCTGCTCGTGTCGTGTCGATGAGGGTTTTTTTCGGAACCAAACTCACTGTGCTGCGTCGGTTTTTGTCGTTGAAATAAGGAAGGAAGCTAGAGAAGACTCTAGTCTGCCGTGAAGGTATCAGTTGTTCCATGATGTTCCATTCACAGATGCTGGGCTAGTCTCCTTTGCAGAACTTTGCTGGGTATGGAACTAAGAGCTTGAGTAGAATGCATTAATGGCTGGATTGAGAGTGGCAGAAAAGTCAGCCCGCCCTAACGATGGTGCAAGCTCCCGGAAGATCTGAAAGGAGTCAGTGCAAGTCAGACTGATATTTGGCTTACCCGCCCTGGTATGTGCGAGAGATGCCAACCGTAGCCAGGCACATCTCCCAAGATCATCTAACACCAACCAAACCTACCGAAGCAGGTCATCTCTTCCGTCGACTCAAAACCAATATTTGTTCAAGCACCGAATATCTGTGCTCCACGCGCTCTCACCGTGCGCTTCCACCCGTCTCACCGCTCTCACCGCGTGAGGGGCCCGAAGTTCCGGGGTTTGGGCAGATTTCGACGGCGTTTCTGGAGGATTGGGCTTTGGGCACGTCGAGGCTGTTCCTCCGTGCTGGGCAGCTGAAGGCCTTGGAAGACTTGAGAAGTGCAGGCCGCCCGAGCGGCCCTTGCTACTGTTCCTCCCGTCCGAGGTAAGACGAGTGAGACGTCTGAGACGGGGTGAGACGTGTGTACTTGGTTTTGGGTTGGTCTTGGGGGATGGTTTTTGGACGTCTCGATCGTGCAAAGTGAGTGAAGCCCAGAGGTCCGTCACCAAGGGATCACGGGATCATTGTTGCACCTGGTGTAGTTAGGCTTTGGACAAGGCCGAGACCTAATGTATGGATACAGATGTAATCCCATGTTCCTACAAGGGAAGCTCCACATCAAAGCTGAGCATTGACCGACGATTGCCGTGTTTAGTGCTAAGGATAGGAAGGAAGTGGCTTCCGTTTTTTCGTGCCATCAGTTCAGATAAGCTGTCCTGCTACCTTTACATACCTTTACTATGTATCTACACATCTGAGAACTCTCTCTTCTTCTCCATGGCTTTTGAGCCGTGACCTTTGACCATCTTGACCGCCAGAATTCACATGACGCCCAAACCGGGCCAAGACGCAGTCCAAACATCGAAGAGGGGTGCGATCTCTTTCTACTCGGCTGTGTGTGCGACCTGGGTCACACTGTGTGCGTGTGCGGGTAAGTCATGCCGGTCATGACCGCGTGTGAGTCTAACGAATGTCAAAAGAAGCACCACTGTTTGGACCTGGAAGAGGCGCTTTTCCCTGCCTTTGTGAAGCCACACCATCCTGACCATAAATATACACCCAACACTGATATACCAGGTGAAGCCAAAATCACAAGGTGAAGCCACAATCATCCTGTTTTCTTGTGACTCCACACCTGACCTTCTTCTCACCACCCTTCCACGAACCCGAAGGCGCTGCGCCGGATCCGGTGCGGCTGCAGCAGATCGTGCGGCGCATCATCCGCGCGAAGTGGCTCCGCGCGGCGCATGCGGTGCGGCTGTGCCTCTATGTGCCGAGGCGAGCCTTCCAGCAAGGGGGGTGGAGGATGTGGAGGGAGGCATGAGAACACTTGGCCTTGAGCGGAATAATCCGATATGTTGCGTGGATCACTTAGAACACCAAGAGTCCAAGAGCTAGTATTATCACCACACATGAATTCGATGCCACGCCAGCCTGCGACCGCACGCCGCCGAGGTTCCTGTCTGCCGTCCGTGCCAAGCGTGCGGAAGAGACGCTGGCGACCCGAGCCCTGCTGATGGGGCGGCTTCGCCTGCAGCTGGACCGCGCGAGGCGCTGCGGGTTGGTTGCGGACTGAGGACTGGAGAAACGAAATGAAATAGAAGAGACTGCAGGAAACCTGTCAAACACCCCCCACGGATGGGTCAAGTGGATGAAACAGTTAGTGGGTCGGGGGTTGTCTCGTCTCTTGCATGCCTGCTGTAGCAATCGTGACAAAGACTCAAACATTTGCAGCATTTGCATGCATGATGTCCTGACCATTCTGACATACTAGCAGAGTCTGCAACTGTTTGGTGGCAGAATTGTATGCCACAGGTGCCGGCTGCGTGAGAAGCACCGGCGCGCGCTGCGGCGATGGCGCGTGGCCATGCACGTGGTGAGATTGACCGGAAGTTGGATGGCGCAGGCGCTACGACTCTGGGAGTTGCGCACGGCCCAGACCCGGAAGTTGCGAAGGTGTCGAGTTGTGAAGGGTCCAGATGCTTGGGCGAAACAAAAAGCGATTCGAAGCTGGATCGGATGAAGCATCCAAATCAGCATGGATCGGATGAACATGGTCTGCAAACAGCCCGTCCTCTTTCAACCTTTGGTTTATGTCCATCTCCATTTCGATGCTTGGAAGTTCCCCAGCTTGGGGTGGGACAAGACCGCCAAGGCAGAGATAGCGGACTTCAGATACTGACTAGAGAACTGTGTGATGATGTAGCCCCTATTCAGAAGGATCCACTGGCGTCGGAGTTTTGTCCTGGAATGCCCAACGCCCCACGGATCTCAGCGCACCGAACGGTCCTCACTCCCGTCACGGCCAGGCACAGGCTCGCCGTCTGCAGAAAGCCATGCGGAAGTTCTGGCGGCTGCGCACCAGGCGAGACGCGGAAGACGACGAGGGAAGGTGGAGGCGACTGACAAAGATCCGAGGGCCGATGGATTCCCGAAACCAATCTAAAACCATCTAAATCCAATATCCACTGACGATTTACAGGTTGGAGGCCAATGGCTACTAGGTTGGAGGCCATCGCTCTTAGGTTCCTTCTGCTATTAGTCAACTCACAAGCGATGCGGGAAGGCTTCCCGAATGGGTGGCCTTGAAAGCGGAGGAGGCCGGTGTGGGGCGGTCGAGACCCATCAGGTTCTGTTCAGCCACAGGACGGGATCACCATGTTAGCCCATGCTGTCAGCCCATGCTGTTTGGGTGTCAGAGGTTCACAAAGAACACATTTTGTCTCATGCAAACTCTGCAACATTTACAATCACTTCCGCCAAAGGTTTATTGAAAAACAGCAATGAGGACCCCAAACCAGAGCTTTGACACCCTCCACCAAGGCAGAACACTTACAACCAATATATATTTATATGTCTTGTTACGTACATGCAAGTCACAATTTGTCCTACCGGGTTACCGGCAACAGAGCAGTGGATGTATAAATGCTGCTGGCTGGTGTTTGCCAGCGGAGGAAGAGGCCAGTGCTATGTGTATTCCAAGTAAGTCTTGTTGGTGTAACGTGAAGTGCAAGCGCTGCCAATCAGTCAAATGGAGCACTTCAGAGTGTTTCTTGGCCCAATGGTCGCACACTGAGAGCGCCCTTTCCTAGGCAAGACTGGAAGAGGAACGCAGAAGGGCAGAAGAAGAGGTCCGC